AAAAAAAAAGAAAGAAAATGAAATCTTCAAAAAAATATATAAAGATCTATTAGACTTTTCAATCTCTTTCTCTTCATAGGAGATTTTAGGGGATTTGAGAGTTTGGTCCTGGAGTAGGGAAGCTGGTCTGGTGAGGAGTGGTCAGCCTCCAGGGAGTCAGAACAGAGAATTTCTGCTGGTAGTGAGCCCCATGTCAACAGGCCCTTCTTTGAAATCCTATACGGATGCTCTTCAAAACTATCCTTTCTGGCCATAGCCCTATCTGTTCCTGGGATTGTTTACGGTTCTGCTTTCCCGAGTTTTTGCTGCAACTTGCCCATGACTATTGCTTTTGGGGTAAAACTTTTCAAATCCCCCTCAAGAGGCTAGACCATCACCGGGCCAATCCTTTCTCGAAGTGGAGAGTCCCTTTCATTGAACCAAACTGCCCTGAAAACCTGCTCCATGCTAGGCTTGGAGCTCAGAGGTGGCTCAGGTGGAGCTCTGTCTTTGAGGAACCCGTTTGTAAGACCTCAGGGAAAGACAGACTCATATATATAAGGGTAATAAGGAGATTTAAACCCCTTGCCGGAAGTATTGTAGCATAGGAGCCGGTAGGGGCTCCAAAAGGGAGCAGTTCAGTTTAACGTACAGTATCTGAGTCTGAAAGATAGGAGGTAAGGATTGAATGGGGGTAGGAGTAGAAGGAGTTCCCTGCAGAAGGCATAGCTTTTGAGAAGGCCCGGAGTTGGACGAGGGTACTCCATGGCTAGGAAATGCCCATCGAGTGCCCTGTGAAAAATGAAGCTAGAGACGTGGGCAGGGGCCCTTAGGAAAGCCTTGAACTCCAGGCTAAAGCAAAGTGACTTTGGCCCATATGCAAGGGGAGTGACATGTATGGTGGAGCCAAGGCAAGGGAAGAAGATGGGATGTCTATTTGGAAAGATCTTTTAGATCTTTTACTGGAGAGGCTGGGAAGACATTGAGGCGGGCCAGCTGAAAGGCTGTTGCTACCGGCTGGCAGATCTTAAGAAGCAGCCGTCTAATTCTATTCTTTTATAGATGCACAGTCTGAGGCCCAGAGAGGTCAAGTGACTTGCTCAAGGTCACCCAGCAAGATCGATAGCAAAGTCAAGGCTTCAACCTGTGGGTCCTGCCTCCCAGCACAGGCTTCCTTCACTGCCCCACACTCCTCAGGAGGGTGGGCCACCCACTGAGATTTCTTTTTCGTCCTTCGCTTCTGAATCGGTTATGTGCTCTGCCCCTACCACAGCCCAACCCTCGAGGAGAGTGACAGGGAAGTGTTCCCAGAGGACAGGGCGGGGAGTATTGCCTGCTTCAGAAGATGTTGCCGCTGCTGCTGCCACCGCTGCTGCCGCCTCCCCGCCAATCAGGGAGCTTTCTAGCCGCAGGAGGAAGCCAGGAGCCAGGGGATGGGACTGCAGTGATTTATGACTGCACAGAAACAGCAGGACACTAATGTCTCTGGCCGGCCTACTTGTCTGCCAGCTCAGCCAGAGAGCATGGATCTAAAGGTCACGTCCTTCAGGGCTGGAGATGGGGCAGAGGGTCAGCCATACAGGGTGCTTGCCCAGGGCCCTCGTGTCAGGCCCATCACCAGAGGGCAAGGCCCCTCCCTTCCTGAGCAGATGCCAAAGGGTAGATCCTCACAGCCTGGGCAGGGCAGGGTGCCCTTGCCATTGGGAGTCTGGACGATCTCCCTGGGTTTGAATTCAGTCACTGATCATCTCAGTCACTGATGTGTGATCTTTGGCTGGTCATACAGCCTCTCCGTGCCTCAGCTTCCCGATCTACAAAACAGGGATGATTTTGAGCCTCTCAATCCTTGGGATTGAATCATCTCCCAGGTCTGCAGGTACAGATTCCCTGTTGCCGAGAGGCTAAAGAAGAGGAACAAGCCGAATCTAGAACTTTGTCTTGTCGCGGCTGGGTGGGGCATCTAGCGCTCACTTCGTTTGATTTCTCCCTTCAAAGTTGGGGAAATTAAAACCCTGAGAAGGGGCAGGCTTTGCACACAGAGCCGGGGGGGGGGGGGGGGGGGGGGGGCAGGCAGAAGCCAGGATGCTAGTTTCCACCTCCCTGCTCCAGGTGTTTTTCAGCAGTACCAGGCAGTGGCGAAAGAAGCCAGAAGATTAAGCCATTTGTTCTGTGTAATGTCGCTCTACCTCTGAAGCAGCCCTCTCAACATCCAGGCACGGCTGGGCTGCTGCAGCTTTAAGCTTAGAGTCTCAAAAAAAAAAAAAAAAAAAAATCAAAAAGGAAAGGAGGGCAGGGCCAGCTCTCCCCTGCACCATTGGAGGGAAGCTTTGATGTGGGGATGCTGCAGATGTCATTCCTCTTTGGCTTTGGAACATCCTTTTCTTTGCATCTGATTTCTTTTCCCAACCAGATTTGGCCTGGATTTTTATAATAATAATAATAATAATAATAATTATTATTATTATATGAATGCACATTAAACTGGTGGGGGAAGGAACTGATGTGGAGAGGTCAGAGAGGCAGCCTGAAATGAGCCAGGAAGTTCCCAAGATTTTGCATCTGGGGCCTGAATCATTGACACATTTAATGCACAGGAGGACAAGCAGGGTTGGCTATGAGGGCTCATTGCCACGGACCTGTGATGCCCAGGCCTGGACCAGAGAGGAAGAGAGAGGAAGAGGAATGACTTGGTGAACACTCACGTAGGAGACAGGAGAAGGCGGAGAGTTTATTCACCCCCAGGACTGCATTTTGCTGAGTGTTGTAGTAAGAGAGGAGGGACTAGATGCTATGTCAGTGGTGGGGAGAGCAACTTCTAGACCCTCTCCTCACTCAGTCCATCTCCTCCACTTCTGCCGGGGCAGCCTCCCTAAAGTGCATGCGTTCATTAATTCATTTCTTTATTTCATACATTCTACAGATTTACTCTGTGCCAGGCACTGTGCAGTGCTCTGAGGAGGCCACGATGATGGACGCAGGATGCAAATCTCATCATTTTTTGCCCTCGTTAAAATCTCTCACAGGCTTCCTACTTATTTCAGGATAAGGACTTCACTCCCTTGCCTGCCATTCAGGGCTCCTCCTGTTCTGGCTCCGGATTCCATCCCCAACCCCACTCCCGGTCACTTAAGGCAACAAACACTTTGGATTCTTTGCCTAACAATAAATATGTCAGGGGAAAACGTGCCTCTGAGTCCTGCTGCCTGTGTCCTTTCCATGCTCTCAAATGCTACACATCCTTTTAAGAGCTGGGTTGGAAACGTTACCAACCTTCCTGGAGAAGCTTTTCAGAACCTCTTCCTATCCAGCCTGAAAGAATTAACAAACAAACGAACAAACAAAACTTAACAGCACTTAAAACATTCTAAATTCCTTGAGGGCAGGATTCTGTGCCCTCTTCCTCTACCATCTAGCATAGAGCCTGAATAGTCCTTCACAGAGACTCCTTCATTCTAGATTCTCATACACAACACTTCATATCCTGTTGTTGTTTTAACTCCTTATCACTTCCTAACATTTTACTCGACATATTTATCTTTATCTTACCTGTTTTTTGGGGGGTAGGGTTTTTTTGTGTCGTTCCTTGCTGTACCCCATTGCTTAGAACAGTGCTTGGAACACAGTAGGTGCTCAACAGATAACTGCCGGGGGAAAAAAATGAAGCCAATAAAATGTGCAGTCAAAACTATGGATGTGTAAGCTCCACGGAACGTTGAAAATGGAAGCCTATGAGCAAGAATTTGTCAGCCCGACCTCAGTGTGTGCGTCTTAGGTGGGGAGAGAAGGGTTGGTCAACCCTCAGATAACAACCTCATGTGAAGCATACAGTAGGCTCTTGGCAACAGAACTTAATCTTTGACACTCCACGCTGGAGAGGAAGGAGCTCCCCCGGGGGTCAGCCTGAAGACAGCTGCATCCTTTCTGTAAATTAACCAGTATGCCCGGCCAGTATTTGTCCTTCCATGTTTTCACCTCATCGGGTCCAAGAACCTCAAAGTGCGTGTGGGGAAATGGAAGCCTGTGGGGGAGGGTGACAGTTTAGCTCCCAATATTAAGCTCCGTAACTCAACCCATCCTGCCGGCGGGCACCACCCCGGCAAGTTTGGACCTACGGTGGACGCGTGTCCTCTCCTCTGTCCCTCCTCGGCCTGCTGCTACTTTATCTCTGAGACGGGGTCCAGGGCTGAGGTCCTGGCCCCCTCACCTCGTAATTTCCCGGAGAATATGGGGCGGGGCCGTGAATCAGCACTCGCTAAGACTGAAGCAGCCTCAGTCCCCGCCAGGGGTCCCCCGTGGCCGCGGAATTAGAACCCCTCCCTTCACCTCCGCTCGCGCGCTATGACCATTGGGAGATGTAGTCCTAACTGCCCCTTTGTCCTTGATCTCTCCAACATATCACCCCACTGCCGGGCAAACTACAATTCCCAGGGGCCCACGCGCTGGGGACCTGGCAGGGCGGGGGGCGGTGTGAGGGGCGAGGTTGGGGGTGATCTGGAGAAGCTGAGGCGCAGGAACCGGGGTAAAGTGAAGAACGGGGAGCACTGTGCGGGGGGGCAGCGGGGAAGGGAGGGACGCCCAGAAAGCGAAGGTAAGCTGAGTCGGGGAGAAGCCCGAGAGGCGGAAGGGCCGGGGCGGGGCCGGAGCGGGGTGCGCGGGCGGGTAGGCGGGACCGTCTGCGTCACGCGGCGTGGGCGGGGCCGCAGGGGGTTGTCCGCCCGCGGCACGCACAGCAGCCGCAGCCGCCTCGCGCCTGGTCCCGCGGTCGCAGCTCAAGCCGCAGCCTCCGCGCCGCCGCCGTCGCCGTCGCCTTAGCTGCTCGCTTCGTGGGTCGGTCTCTCCGGCACACGGGCTCCAGCCGCGCCGTAGCTGCCCTCCGAGCCCTTCAGGCCGCCCCGGTCTCCTCACCCGGCCCGATCCAGCCCTCGAAGATGGTGGACCGCGAGCAACTGGTGCAGAAAGCCCGGCTGGCCGAGCAGGCGGAGCGCTACGACGACATGGCCGCGGCCATGAAGAACGTGAGTTTCTCCTCCCCTCCCCCCGCCTCGCCCCAGTCCCTTCGCAGACGCGGGCCTTCGCGTGGACGGCCCAGGGACTAGTCGCCATTCGCGACTGCAGCGTTGACTGCCCCTCCCCACCCACTCGGGGAGCTGGGGAGGGCCCCGGCAGCGATAGGGACCCGGGTTGTGACGCGGCCTCTCCCCGAGCGTCCCCCAGGGCCGGCGGCGCTGCCTTCTCGGCCCTCCCCGGCCTCGGGCTGGGGCGGGATCTTGCAGGGCTGGTCTCGGGAGCGGGGTCTCTGGCCCCCGCGTCTCCGGGTCCGCTGGGGACTTGAGCGGGGGCCGTGAACATCCTTTGTGCCCCACTTCCCCTCCTCCCAGCCTGGGCGTGGGGGCGGGGGGACCGCATGGATGCGGTTCCTCTTTCTCTCCCTGGTGTCTGGGCGGCGCCTTTCCCATTCACTCATCAGGTCTCCTGGTTTTCTACTCCCCCCCCCCCCCCGATATTCCCCATTGCCTCTCCTGACAGATCCTTTAGAATCTCCACAGAAAAAACGTAGGCTCTCCTGAAAACCTGGGCTCAATGGTGCAAAATCGAAACCTTGCTGCTCTCACGTTTTTGTTAACAAAAGGCTCCTCTTTCTCTATACCCCAAAGCACGTCCTCTTGCGGGGAACGTATTTCTCGCTAGCGTTTTCATTGATCGTTCTCGACATGTCATCTCCGTTTTTTCCTAACGTGTTTTGTATTGAAAAGGGTAGGTATTGTCTTTAAAATAAAGGTTATGCATTTAGCTGACTGGTTTAATTTGTGACAAATGCTGTTTCTTTTTTAAATAGGCACACATCTGTTCATCCTATAAGTCGAAAAAATATTCTCCCTAATCTGATATTGCAAACAAAGCAGTGGTGGGAGGCAGTATCAAGTCATTCTAGAAGATTCTGCATTTGTCATATTGCAGAGAGCCTAGACTGGGTGGAGGCTGGGAGGAGTTATTTTAAAGGAGGAAAAAGTCTTTTTTTTTTTTTTTTTTTTTTAAATAATTTGTTCTGTTAGATACATCCGAGGCTTAAAAAAAAAAAAAGCTAGCGCATCCTCATGCTGATGAAAAGAGAATACTGATCGCCAGTTGTCGCATTTTGTCTGGGATGCAGATTCCTGCCTGTATTGCACCATTTTGCCAGTAACACTACATTTATCTAATTGGCTATCAAAGAGTTTGATATTAGAGGAGGGGGCAAATATTGAGCATTATTAAATAAAACATGGGAAATTATCTGGTTAATGATTTAGGTCTCCCACTGTCTTAACATTTAACTTCCTGTCTTATGTAACAAAGGTTTTTAAAATGCATCTCCAGTGTGAAGTGGATTCAGGAGTGTATCTTGCGTGTTAATTTATTTTAATGAAGCAATGTAGGTATCCCAGCTTAATCCTTGAACAACTTTGCCAGTTCATAAAAGATAACAATGCTTTTTTATTTAAGCCGGCTACCTTACCAAAAGATTTTTATCTCATTAAGGAAGAGACTTGATTCTGAAATGGGGAGTATTGCCGTGTTAATGTATTGCCACAGATGCTACCTTAAAACATTTTAAAGCTCAAATGAGAAGTTCTGCTCTTAATAGATATCAGTGTTGGAAATATGTTTAGTTCATGTTATTTAGACTCTTCTAATTTTTCCATATTTCTAGTTTCACAGGAAAGTGAGTGACCTCGCACCTATATCCATAGCAACCCAGTGATGTCACACACAATGACACAGAGGCTGCAATGCACCTAAGGGCTGGTAGGGAGTATGCAAGTGGCATTTGTCCAAGGTAATGCAGAAATTAGCAGATAAGCAGGTGGAATTGAGGACTTCATCTTATCCACCAGATAAGAATTGGTCCAGAAAATAAGAATATCATTTACCTTTAGGCATGCAGAGCAGTGACCTCTAGATATGCCAATTCATTTTCCAATTTCTAGTTTACCCACAAAAGTTTATAAGCTACATTTGTATTTTTAAACATTTGTCTCATTGTTAAAATTGGACAATAACGGAATAAAGATAGAAATTTTAAACAAGAATATGTCTTAATCATAGTGCTGGGCTGGGCTGTATACTTGGGTTTTTTGCAGATTATTAACTTGGCAGGTGTTAATAAAAACCTTAAAAAACTCTTGACTTCCTACTGGGTCGTTTTCAGTAATGTTAGAGAGTGAGAACTGGTTACAAAACACAAGGCAGAAGTTCTCTTGTGCCTCTGGTCCTTGTCAGTATGGAGGAAAGGGCAATTGTAAAATAAAGCAGACCTTTCTTCAAACCCACTTATGAGGAAGTGTGCTTACCTCTCCGAGCCTCATTTTCCTCATCTGTGAAATAGGTCAATATCCCCTTGAAAAAGGTGTGAGGAATAAGAAGTTAGTAGGTGTTCGAAAATAGTAACTATTTCTAAAACTTTGATTCTTCCCCTGTTTATGAGTCATCTCCTCATGGAGAATTTGGGAAAGACAGAAAGATACAGAGAAAAATACTCTGTCCTGTCACTCAAATGAGTGTTCTTCTAAGGCTGAAATCATCCTAATGGTAGAGGGATTAAGATTATTTGCATTTAATGAGATTATCCTAGTAATAATGTCACTGGGGCCTGTGTGGAGGAATAAATTGTGTGTGGGTGACATAACACAATAGGAATGAAAATCGGCATGCAATATTTTGAAAAGGAAGAAAGAGGGAAGTTTAGTGTTGGGTTTTTTCCTTAAGTTATTATTTTTTGTGTTAGTAATCCCTATGCCCAGTGTGGGGCTCGAACTCAGGACCCCAAGAGCAAGAATCACACGCTTCCAAATGAGACAGCCAGTTTGTTTATTTATTTATTTATTTATTTGTTTATTTATTTATTTATTACTGTCTATTTTTGAGAGAGGGAGAGACAGCATGCAAGTGGGGGAGGGGCAGAGAGAGAGAGAGAGAGAGAGAGAGAGAGATCTGAATCAGGCTCCAGGCTCTGAGCTGTCAGCACAGAGCCCGACGCAGGGCTCGAACTCACAAACTATGAGATCGTGCATGACCTGAGCCGAAGTCGGATGCTTAACCAGCTGAGCCACCCAGGCGCCCCAAGGTTTAATTTTTAAGAGAAGTGTGTAGTCTTCCATTTAAGGGGAGAGGGAACACCTAGATGTTTCTTGTTAGATGGTTCTGTCCTGTCCTTTGGATTCTAATAGCCTCTGAAGAGAAGTTAATAATCTAAGTAGGATACTAGTATTTGCCTCCGGAGGGAGAAAAGCTTCTGGGCTCCTCTTGTTGAAGTGACCCGATTGGGGGGTTTGCTTGCAAAAGGCCTTCTTAATTCTATTTAAAAAAAAAAAAAAAAAAAGTCTTGCTGGAATCAATATAGTTGAAAATTCTTCCTATCTTAAATATTGTGTTTTTCCTACTAGCCCTTCCAGGAGGGGCCAGATCAATAGCCATTATCACTAATGGAGTAATGACACCTCTGTAGACTTCAGAGGTGGAGTTCTGCCAGCCATTATTCTAAGTCATGTGGTTTCAATTGTTCTCTTTGGGGTGGGAAGGATACAGATAACAGTTGGCTTTTTATGTAGTAGTCTTTGCAGTAACTGAAATGACGATTAAGTGCGTTTTCTAATTATTAAAAAAAAAAAAGCAACCTCCCATGGATCTTTTGAATTCTATCCAGATAAAAGGTGCTGCTAAACGTGTATTCTTGTTAACAGAGCTTTGTGTTAACAGCAGACCGTGGGGGGAGTTTCATCCCCTAGTATTGGCAGGAAGCCTTATTTATTTGTTAAGCCTAACTCCTAATCGTTAAGAAGAAAAAATAATTTTGTTTTGATTGAGGTAAAAGTCAACGTAACATGCAGCAAACCGTTTTCAAGCATACGGTTCAGTAACATTTTGCACATTCGCAATGTTGTGCAACCGTCCCCTCTAGCTGAAAAACTGGGAGAATGCCGTTTCTAAAAAGGATGATGGCTTGGCTATAACTGGCTGGATTTCAAAACATTACTGATTCAGGAATGTGTCAATAATGAAGTAACCACAGCAGCTTACAGCCACTGGTAATCGGGATCCTTCTCTTTGTTTTCTAACATCTGGACCTTTTTGGCATAAATTGAAAAGAAAAGAGACTTGTCTCAGCTAGATTAAGATTTCCATCGAAGTTCCAGAGCTTAAAAACCATATGATGGTCCCCCAAATAAGTAACAATGTATCTGAAATTGGAACAAACTATTAATCATTTGGAGATTATGGAAATTTTGCTGGGTTGTACTAGGACTCGTTTTCCACTCCAGTGCTGACTTCGTTGTAAATGATTTCTCTGCTGTGTGGCAGCAGTCCCCTAATGAGCACCGCACGGCACCCTAATGAGCACCGCGCAGTGCTGAGAGGGTGAGCTGTTCAAACACGGATGCTACACTGATAGTCCCGCGTATATGATGTCACACACATCGTTTGGGGGCTTCTGAGGCTGCCAGGAGCTTCTCCCTCCCATAATCACCAGCCTTAACCCTTTTATCTGGCAGGGCATCTGACTGTTTCTGTATTGCTATCAGGTTCCGTGGGATGTGGGAGAAAGAGAGCACAGGCCATCTTAGGTACTTAATAGTCAAAGGAGGAAAAAAATTACACATAAACCACCGTCTTTTGTCCTTTTGAGTAAGCTCTGTGCCCAACGTGGGGCCTGAACTCAGGACCCTGCAATCAGGAGTCACATGTGCTACCGACTGAGCCAGTCAGGCGCCCATCTTTTGTCTTATTTTCTAAGTTCTATTAGTGCTTAACCAGATATTTAAGGTTATAATCAGAGGATGCTATGTTTGCTGCCTTTGTAGGTTGTGAAGGCTGTCAATATCTGCCTTTTGGCCTTGCCTTTCATAATCCCTTTCCTCTTCTCCCCAAATTCTGTTTTAGGTATGAGCTGTTGAGTTTGGTTCACTACCACCACATCATCCTACTTTTTAAATTGGGCACTTGTAGAGATCCTTGAGTTTTGTTTTTTCTAATTTATAAATTTGAATGGTGCACAAAACCGTTCTGTGAGAAATGATCAGTAGAAGTTCCCAAAGGAGAGCTTTAGTTTAAAGGTAAACGGTTAAATAATTGGTTTGGTCCCACGATCTTGCAGCAACAATAAAAATTACGTCTTAAGGACTTGGCATGAGTCTTTTGTTTCTTTCCTTTTTAAAGAACTGGTGAAGTCTAAGCTAAATTTTCATCACCATTTCACCTGTAAGGGTGTGTCCTACAGAGGGAGACTTTTCCTCGCATAAGTTGAATACTGTTAATGTGCTGCGTAACGTTAATTCGGTTGGGACTAGGTAAATGGAAATGAGAGTGTTCTCACATACACAGATTTTTTTTTTTTTTCCCTTCTAAATTTTTACTTAAGTGATCTCATGACCCCGAGATCAGGAGTTGCGTGCTGTTCCGACTGAGCCAGCCAGGCACCCCACATACAGAAATTTTTAAACATGAGGTTTAGAAAATAAATTTCCAAAGAAACTCCTCGGTCTTATCCTCCTAATCTTTGGAGTAATACTGTATTTTTGGAGAGATGGATGAAAGCTGAACTGAGTAGGACCCAGGTGTAGTGTCAGCTTTCTCTTAATTCTGTTACTAGAACGGGGGTGTCAGAGCTGGGAATAGGACAGTGACAGCAGTGGGCAGCTGCACATGTAATGACAGGAGCTTAAGAGGAATCCCTTAGCCGCCCTCCCCCACAGCCAAGTGTGTAGGGCAGCTGTGGCGGTGGAGAGAAGGGTAAGAGGTAATCAGAGGAAGGCTTTCATTTTTATTTATTTTAATGTTTGTTTACTTTGAGAGAGACACAGAGTGAGCGGGGGAGGGGCAGAGAGAAGGACACAGAATCCCAAGCAGGCTCTGCACGCTGTCAGTGCAGAGCCAGACTCAGGGCTCGATCCCACAAACTGAGATCATGACCTGAGCCAAAACCAAGCTTGGACGCCACCCAGGCGCCCCAAGAGGAAGGCTTTTTTTTTTAAAGACGCAGGTTTGTTTTGAGATATATCATTTAAATGTCCAACACCTGAGCTCCCCTGCTTTCATAACCTGGATCTAGGAAACCGTGGTCTCTGGTGCCAGTACTTTAAGGATGTGGAAATAAACTTTCTTTTGCCTGAATTGTTCCAGTTCCGGACCCTTCAGTTCAATACAGTGCGCCTTTTGTAGCTAACAAGAACTAGCAAATGAGTATGTGTGTGCCCTGGTGGCCCAGCATGGATGGTAGCCTTGCAGGTAATCCCATGCCCCCTGCCAGTGCAGTTCTGCTGCTTGAGCTGGACAGGCTGGGTGGGATAGAAGCTATTGCGAATGATGCCTGCCCCACTCTTCACATACGACCTATATCTAGTCTTTGTAACTACATCTGTGTAATAGAAATAGACGTTAGACACTAAATTTTTTCTACTAAGTCGAAAATGACCCAGTCCAGAAGGGCAGGGAGAATTCATAGGATAGGCTCAGAAAAGAGCATCCTGAAGCAAGGAAAAGCTAGTTGGGAACAAGTGGGTAGTAGAGAAGGAATATTCCTTTTTTAGTGGGTTTTATTTATTTTTTAGTTTTTTAAATTTTTTAGAAAAGGTTTTATTTTTTTTTTAATTTTTTTTAATGTTTATTTATTTTTTGAGACAGAGGGAGACAGAGCATGAATGGGGGAGGGGCAGAGAGAGAGGGAGACACAGAATCGGAAGCAGGCTCCAGGCTCTGAGCCATCAGCCCAGAGCCTGACAAGGGGCTCGAACTCATGAACCGTGAGATCATGACCTGAGCTGAAGTCGGACGCTCAACCGACTGAGCCACCCAGGCGCCCCAGAAAAGGTTTTATTTTTAAGTAATCTCTATGCCCAGCGTGGGTGCTCAAACTTGCAACCCTCAGATCAAGAGTCACATGCTGCACCAACTGAGCTTGCCAGGTGCCCCTAATTTTTTTTTTAAGTTTATTTATTTATTTTGAGAGAAAGAGAGAGAGGGTGGGTGGGGAGTGGGGGACAGAGCATCTGAAGCAGGCCCTGTGCTGACAGCAGAGAGCCGGATGCCAGGC